TCTCTTGCCTTAGAAGTATGTGGCCTCCCAGAACTTCATTTGTAAGTCAGCTTTCTGGAACTCAAAACACATTTCCAGAGAAATAATGTGCTAAATCAATGGTTGGCAAACATTTTCCAAAAAAGACCAGAGAGTGAGTATTTTCTGTCCCGTGGGGTTGCCAGGAGTGGAATCAACTCACAGCACCCGGGTTTTCACCAGCAGATCCCCCTGCAACCCTGTCCAGCCAGGGAACCGAGCACAGTGGCAAGGACGAGTGCCGATGATGACGGGCCCAGGTTGACAGGTCATTTAAGTTCACAAACACTTCCCCAAGCATTCTTGTAGGAACTCTGTCAGGTCAGGGATCTGGAACTGGGTGCAGTGGCTTGCTCAAAGTGACACAGCTGGCACTTGGCAGAGCAGAAGCCAGGGCTTCAAGTTTCTGAGCCTAAACCCAGCCGTCTCCATGTTTCTGCCCTGCTTCCCAGGAGGTGCCATGCAGCAGATCCGGTGGAAGTGGTCCTTTCTCTTCTTCTCACCCTGATTTTCACTGAGTGGTTGGATTTCCATGAACATCACTCTGCTAATTAAAGTTCCCTGCTCTGGTGGTGTAGTGCCCAAGGCATCTGACTGCTAACTAGAAGGCTGGCGGTTCAAACCCACCAGCCACTCCTCGGAAGGAAGACTGGGCAATCTACTTCCATAGAGATACTGCCTCGGAAACCCAAGAAGGGGTCACTATGTGTCAGAATTGACTCAATGGCAGTTGAGTTTGTGGGGTTTTTTTGACTTCAGCATATGGAACTGCTGTCCCTTTATTGAACCGCCTTGGCTGGTGAGGCACCCACATCTCCACCGAGGCAGCAGAGCCAAGCTGGGGAAGAGGACAGACTCTGGGGTCACTGGGGCAGGGGCATTGAAATCCTAGACAAGTGGGTTCAACTGTGTGAACTGAGCGTGCTACCTAACCTCTGATCGATGGAGGAAAAACCACTCAGTGCCAATTACATACACACATTCAGTAACTGGTGCGAGTCCTCACCTGCCTTCTCTAGGACCGGATTGGGAATAGAGTTCTACCCACAAGAGGGTGAGTCTTCATCTCTTCTCTCCGAGGAAAAACAGTCACCAACACCCAAGCCCATTGATGCCTGCCGCGTGCAGGCTAATGGTTTTGGGTAACGAGCCCACCTGGAAGTGCACTGCTCCACACACTGGAATAACCGACCCAACCGCTGAAGGCAAACTGCAATTTAACGTAATGAATGGCAGCCACGCTGCTAATCTCTTCCTGTATGTGACTGACGAACATCAGCGCATCTGGTGAAAGTTACTGCTCCTGAGAGCTGGGGCCAAATCACAACAGCTTCACTCCAGTAGCTCTCCTCTGAATCAATCAAGAAAACTCAGGTACCAATGGCTCCCCCTACCGGCACCAGGGAGCAATGGCTAACAGTCAAGGTGGGTGTCATTTCCATTTCCCATTCTTGTGAAAAATTTACAAGATTAAAGAACAGGACTTGCCTCGAACTACTTATCTTTCTCAGATATGGAAGTTCATGAATGAGAGACTCAAATTTCTTCACAACAGGACACTTGGAAGTGCATGCCCACACAGACAAAGTTCACACATGGGACCCAAAAACTGGGTGGGGGAGCTGTATAGGAGAAAGAGTTTAAGAAAATGGGAGCACGCAAGTACAGAAGGCCGGGGGTGCGAGTGGAACGGTGCGGCTGACCGACTACAGGGGGAGGGCGGTGAGCTTACTCGGTGAGGCCCCACTAGTGGGCACAGCTCTCGGCGACAGGCTTCCTCCCACAGAAAGGAGTCCTCATACTGAGCACTGTCCATACAGAAGGGCTGCGCAGGCAGAGGGTGTTAGCAAGGCGTAGACGACCAAACACTGGGCCGATGCAAGAAAAGACTCACGAACTGGCAGAGGACCGAGTTGGACTATCTTTAGGATCCTCTTTCTCTCTGAAATCCCGCAAATGGAGAATAAAATCCCAGGTGAAGAGTCCTCTTGCTAGGATGATTGGTATTGTTCCCAGAGTTACTTTTTTCCATATAAATAATCAACATTTTGTGCTTCAGGCTCATTGAATTTTATGATCATTTTTTAATAGAAAAAAAACATTACAATCAAATTAAAGGGTAGACTGTACCAGTGCCAACTTCCTGGTGCTGGCACTGACTGCAGTTGTGTAAGATCCTGCCACCAGGGGGGTGAGGTGCAGGGCACAGGGACTGTGGCTATTTCACACCTTCCAGTCAATCTGTTGTTATGTGCCGTTGAGTCGGACGGACTCATAGCGACCCCTCCTTGGGTTTCCCAGGCGGTATCACTACGGAAGTACATTGCCCAACCTTCCTTCCAAGGAGTGGCTGGTGGGTTTGATCAATCTGTAGTCATTTCAAAAATAAGGTGATTGCTTTTTTTAAAATCAAATTAAAGGTACTTCCCCAAAAACTTCAAAGACGCATCAAAGACAACAACTACAAGCCCATTTAGTTCGAGTGTCCTCAGCCACGAATGACTGCACAAGTATCTACAGGCAGAGGGCTCATTTCAAAACCATGATCAATCAGCTATTAAGATTTACAGATGTGATTAGGCACGCCTATGTCATGTTGACAGGTGTCTGATCTGATTACACTGATCATAACTCTTCAGTTATCTGGGGTCACATCACTACAATTCCCTGTGGGCAATACCTGCTGCTGCTGCTTTTTTTTTTTTTTTTAATTTTACTGTGATTTGGGTGAAAGTTTACATAGCAAATTTACTTTCCATACAGCAGCTCACACACACGTTGTCTCATGACATTGACTGCAATCTCCCACAATGCAACAGCTCCCCTCCCACTTCCTTCTCATAGTTACCTCTTCCCTGTATCCTTCCCTCCAGGCACTCCTGCCCGCCCAGCTGTCTCCCTGTGCATAAGCAGTCCCTCTCTCTCCCATGACTGTTCTCTCCAAGGAGTGTATCTACCTAATGTAAATGTCCAGCTCATATGCCTGTCTTTTGTTTGGCTGGAAGCCACAGGAGTGGGTTCAGTTCCAGACCTGAAGGGCAGCTAGGGGCCATAGTCTCAGGGGTTCCACCAGGCTCTATCGGACCAGCAAACCTGTCCCTTTTTTTGTTTTTTTAAATGATTTTTGAGTTTATGGGCAATGCACTCATACAGTTGCTTCCTACTGTGTACACACAGGAACCTTGTACAGAGTAATTACTCATTTATTAAACTGTTAATGATTTGCTTACGTCACATTTCCTCTAACCAATCATGACTAGCAATAAGGACTGTATCATGTTCATCTTTTTATCACCGCACCCCCAGTAGGTTCTCAATAGTCAGAGTGAATATGTAAGACATGAACCAGTGGTTATTTGAGGATCCTTTTCCAATACAGGGAGCTCTGATGGCATAGTACCTAAGGCATCTGACTGCTAACCAGAAGGCTGGCAGTTCAAACCCACCAGCCACTCCTTGGAAGGAAGGTTGGGCAATCTATTTCTGTAGAGATACCACCTCAGAAACCCAAGGAAGGGTTGCTATGAGTCGGGACTGACTCAATAGCAGTGAGTTTGAGTTTTTTTTCCTGATACAAAGACGTCTTAAGAAATTTCAGAGTCTCTTTTTTAGAGTCAGGATTAAATATATGTATTATGTAGAAATTTATTTATTTTTTGATATATAACTGATTTATATATACCCAAACCCACTGCCATCAAGTCAATTCTGACTCACACTGACCCCCACAGGGTTTCCAAGGCTGTAAATCTTTACAGAAGTAGATTGCTTCATCTTCCTCCAGTGGAGCCGCTGGTGGGTTTGAACCACCAACCTTCTGGGAAGTGGCCCAATGCTGCCTTACCCACTACACCACCACAGCATATAGTAAATGTGTGTATGTCACAAAGTCTCTGAAACACAGGGTTTTAATCTGTTTATAAAGATCACTAAAACCACTTGTTTTTTGATTTGTTAGTTTCTAAAGCTATCACAACTCAAGAGTGTTCTGGTTCCTAGTGCCGCTCTGACGGGAATACACCACCAACGGGACGGCCTTAACAAACAGGAGTTTATTCTTACAATTTGGAGGCTCTAAGTCCAAGTTCAAAGTGCCAGGCTCTAGGGGCTGGGTGAAAGCCCCTCAGCCTTGGGGTCCAGCTCTGCCTCCTCCTGGCCCACTGGAGCTAGAGGCATTTCTTCACTCAGACAGCTGCTGGCTGCTGAGGCTGAGAAGCGCCAAGGTTGACAAGGAAAAAGGCACAGTCCTGATGTTACCAAACCACACGGCAGGCCATTAACTAAGTCCATTGTGAGTCCCAAGGTCGGCAGAGCATAGCAGGCTGCTGAGCAACGACATGACTACATGCAGGGTCCAAGTGTGCCATAGGCTAGAGACCATTCCCAAGGCTTCTCCTTATATACCGGAAGCAGACCACATCCCTAAGGCAGCTACTCAGCTGCTCCCAGTAGATTCCACCATGGAGTTGATTACCACTCTCATCATAGGGAAGACTACATCCAGCTGCCCAGCCACTCAACCAGGCCCAGCCAAATTCACAAACTGAACTACCACACAGAGTAAAGAGATGTTGTTTTTCCAGACAAAAAAACAACATGAATTGTTCAACGAACCCCCTCAGCTTGAAATTCCCTGCGATAATGGTGTCTTTGCTTAGTGTTATCAAGTCCCCTGAGAAGCACCGACTTCTTTCAGATTCCATGAGACAGTGCCACCTCTCAATTTTTCATATTAACAGGCCAGAAAATAGTGATGCAGCTGCTCTAAATTCTGTTTATTAAAAACACGTTTTTTCAAATAAGTCGTCTGCACAGCCCAAGTCAATCAAGGCAGTGAGACCACCAAGTGTCGCTTCCTTCTGCAAAGCACACACGTCATTAGCGTGTACGTGACCCAAAAATCATACCCAAAGGTCAACTTAAGGAGCATCGGAAACTCCTGGAGATCCCAGGGGCTCCAAGGCCTCCCCCGGGTCAGGCACCTAAACAGGCTCAGAAGCATGCCGGATCCTGAGGACTTCTGCAAAGCCATCGCCAAACCAGCAAGTGACGTGCGCTGTGTCCACCGTGAAGTAGAAAAGACGGTCCCGGCAGAGCTTCCGTCGATACACAGACCGAGGGTCGGCTGCCAGCACAGCCTCAATAGCACGCTTTGCTTCCTCTGCCGACCGGAAATACCGAAACACACTTTGACTGACATCTGTAACGAGAAGAACACAACCTCCCTCTCAGAATCGCACAGGTCCAGTCTCATCACCATGAGCTCTGACACGGGATGTGGCTGCTCCCTCGAACACCGCTTGATGGGAACACGGTCATTACCAGAAGAAACTTGTGGCCCACACTGGGCAGGGGTCTGACCCGAGCTGGCCCGTTCTCAGGGGATACTGACATCAAGTTCCTCTACTTTGCACTGCTCTCAAGGTAGAAACACAACTCCCTACAGTGGCCTAGGAAACCCTATGTAGGCACCTCACCCTGTCCGTAGCCTCGCTGACCTTCAGTCTGCTCCAGCCACATGGCCTCAAATGTGCCACGCACACCCCCACCTTGGGGCTGTGCACCAGCTCTGCCTTCAGCTGGCATGTCCTTTCCCTGGCCATATGAGGAGGTCATGCCACCGCTCTGGCCTCTGCTCAGAGGCCACTTCTCACTGAGGCCTCCTCTGGTCATCCTGTTTAAAACTGCCACCCACATCCCACACCCCTTACCCTACCTATTAAGTATTTTCCACAGCTCTCATCCCCTTCTAGCATCTTACACGATGTACTTAGTTATCAGGCTTTCAGTCTGCCTCCCTCTGCCCTCTAGAAAGCACGCTGCACGTGGGCAGGGACTTTGCCTGGTGCCCAGTGAATGACCATACAGTGAGTAAGTGACCAGCCTTCTTTACATGGCTCTACTGAGTCCGTACTGAGTTCCAACACAAAGAACAGCTTTCCACCTTTCTGACACCTCCTCCCTGGCAACTGGCTGCTTTGTCCTGGCCTCACTGCACCCACATCTCAAGAGCCCCTTCCTTCATTCAAGATTGCAGCTTGCTGTTGTCTGGGGAAACCAGGCAACAACATTTGCTAAGAACCACGCGTTAAATAAACAGACCCCAAGCAGGGGCCCCGTGGCCTGTCTTGTGCAGTCCTGGGATTGTGTGCGTGGAGGGGGGCAATTCTGTGTTCACAGACTCTTTCGCTTAACCCCCTGCACTAGAGGCTGAACTGTCCACCAGCTAAGCATGACAATAAAATGGGGTATTTCTTTAGTTACACAGTACACAGAACAAGCACAACCTGGCTTCTGACTCCTACTTGTTGGAAAGCTCCAGGGACCACTGTAACAGGCAGACAGACCCTAAATAACGGGCAGCCTCGTGAAGCTGCCGCCATTCTAAGACAACACTCTGCCGAGCGCCCGGAACAAACTGTGCTGAAGAAACAGCTGCTGTGTGAACACATCAGATGATGGTGTTGCCCAAATACTATTTTTTATTGCTGAATGTCTTTTCATAGTGACAGATACTCCACGGAACTGCCCTCGGATGGATCAGACTTGGCTCCGTGTCGCAGTCAAAGCTCATCCTCCATCCAGAAATAAACAACTGAAGGTACCTGGCTCACCTGAGCTGAGGTGTGCGAGATCCATCTCGGCGTGAGGAGTGAACCGAACCCCTAATGTGGGCACAGGTGCCTCTCTCACCCAGCTGGGAACCACGCTGTGGCGGGCTTCAGGGGCAGCCCCGGCAGGGTGGCGAAGGGCCCCAGGCTGCGTTTCTCCACTGACTCCTTGTAGGATCTCGGCCTCTTGCCCTGCCCGTGGCCTCTTCTCTGTCCCTTCCTCAGAAGAGCTCTCCTCCAGATGACGTGAGCCAATCGCCTCTTCTACAGCACTCCAACTCTGACCACGTCCTGATTCTAAGCCCAAACCTGCTGCCCTCTCCCCCTGGTTCCTAGGCGAGTTTAGAATTTCTGCTGTGTCATGTTCCCGGTGCTTTTCTTCAGGAGTTCTGTCTTCAGGCCCTTTGGGTTTCTCCTCAGTGCTACTGTCGGGCTGTGGTTCATCGCACCCTGGGAGCTGCTGCTGGTCACAGTCATCAGTCATGCCACCACACCAAAACTCAGTTTCTGGTTTGTGTTGGGCACCTGGTAAATTAAAGTCTCTTAAAGGCTCCATCAGGCGCTGGGGCGAGTCATAGTCAGCTATGTAGGGCTTTATGTCTAGCACCGGTGTGCCCTCTATCATGTCAATCCCAGAGAGGTAGACAGCGCCACCTACAATGTGAAGAAAAGAAATTCTCTGAGGAACACTCATTAACAATGACGGACAGTGCGAGCGATTAGTGAATGGACTTGTACCTAAAATCCTCCTTCTGACACCATCTGCTCACGCCACACCAAGCTTGCTCACAGCACTCTCACACACCAGGCTCCAACACCCCTGGCACCACTATGTGCTTCTCTTTCTGCCTGGAAACCCATCCTCTTCTTTACCTGTCCAATTCCCACCTGCTTTTCAAGGCCCACAGACCAGAACTCTGGCCCCTCTGGATGCGCACGCTTTCCCAAGGAATCCTACGGAGCAGCCTGTGCACAAGCCCCCAGGAGCTCGTCTGCACATACGGGAGGGATCGGAAGGGGCTCCAACCTGGGAGGTGCGCAGGCCCCGTGAGCTGGGTCGGCTTGTTCCTGAGCATGCGTTTGTGAACTCTTATTAACTGTTTAGTGACTATTTACTAATTTAATGGTCATACAGCTATTTTAAAATAATAGCTCATGACATATGCAATGACAATTCATGAGCATCTTATCAGAGCATAATTGTTTTCCTTTTTAACTTTTTGTGTGATTTGGGTGAAATGTTACAAAGCAGATTTGTTTTACGTGCAACAATTAATACACGTTTTGTTTTGTGACACTGATTACATGCCCACGATGTAATAGCTCTCCTCCCACCTGCTCTCTATGCTCCACCCTTTCCGTGCCCTTCTGGACTATGCACTCGTCCCTCCCCATCTTTCTCCCTGTCCAAATGCTGCCTTTCTCATCTCCTGTGGTTGACTGTTCTAAGGAGTGCACCTCCCTGGGGTAGCTGTTCTGCTCGTAGCCCTATTGTTTGGCTGAAAGTTAGCCGTGGGAGTGAGTCCAATCCCAGGCCCGAAGGGTGATTAGGGACCATAGTCTGAGAGATTTCACTAATCTCTATATAACCTGTAATCCTGGTCTCCTTTATGGTTTTTAATTTTGTTCCACATTCTCTCTCCCACTCTATCCAGGATCTCCAATTTTGATCCCTTTGTGAGTAGTTGGCATTGGCATCTGGGCACCATCTAGTTCAAAGTGTATCCATTCTTTTCAGTCATTTTATTTCTTCAGTGCTTGGTGGTACTCAGTGGTTAACACCCTTGGCACTAGTCCAAATAACATCAGTGGTGATTTTATAAAACTTCTTTTGGGGAAGGAAAAACAAGTGAAAAGCACATGTGACATAGGCTACCTTCTACCTTTTCCAGCTTGGCCAGGGTCAGTCCAATGGCATTGGGGCGGTGGGGGCTCCTCGTGGCAAAAACACCAGTCTTTGCGCCATTCAGCCTAGGAGGCTGCACTTTGGCCTTGCAGCTCAAATGACCATTTTTGTGAAAAACAAACAAAATCCTATTGGAAACAAGCCAAACCACTGAGTAAGAAAAGAGCAAAAGTTATCATATACTTGAGGCAGGAGGAATACTTTAATCTCTCAACACTGAACAGAAAAATGCTTCTAACACGAAGGATCTCTGTGATATACTGTTAAGTTAAAAAAAAAATCCATTTTTCACAACAAACACCCAGACTACCTATTTGCTTCTGTATGCCTGGCAGACTAGCCCCCAAGCTGTTAAAAGTGACAATCTCTGAAGACTGTGGAGAGGTAGAAAGAGCAAAGAATGGGAAAATAGAAGTGGTAAGGAAAAATGACTTTACATACCGCAGAACCCATGTTGTATAACAGCAATTTTTTAAAACTTAACCCAAGCAAGACCATACAAACTAGGTCAGAACACCCATGTTCTTTCTACTCTACCAATGTCCCTGAATTAATACGAAAAACAAAATGATTTCAAAATAAACAATTTTAGGTCATCACCAGTGGTACAGTGGGTAAGGCATTTGGCTGCTAACCAGAAGGTAGGTGGTTCAAACCCACCAGCTGCTCCACAGGAGGAAGATAAGGAAATCTACTTCCGTAAAGATTTATAGCCTTGGAAACCCAATGGGGGTCTCGCTATGACTCAGAATGGACTCAATGGCCTTAGGTGGGGTTTTTTGGAACCAATCAACTTAGACCAATTGAGCCTGCTCAAGTTCAAGTGAGGAAGAATGGATAGAGATTGATTTGCATATAATAAAACAAAACCCTGCTGCCAGAGAGTCAACTCCAACTCATAGTGACCCTACAGGAGAGAGAACTGTCCATAGGGTTTGCAAGACTGTAAATCTTTATGGAAGCAGACCACCACATCTTTCTACCATGGAACAGATAGTGGGTTCGAACTGCTGACCTTTCAGTTAGTAATTCAGTGCTTTAACAACTACACCATGACGCTTGATTAAACGTATCTAGATTTCTAAGGTCTCTTTTGTCTTTCAGAAAGACTTAAATCTTCAGGGATCTAGAGCAGGGGTCTGCAAACTCTTTCTGCAAAGGGTCAGAAAGTATTTCAGGCTTCACAGGCCGACTGGCATCTGTTGTTAATGACTGAACTCTCCTATTCAAAGCATGAAAGCAGCCAGACACAATCCACAAACAACAGGCCTGGCCGGGTCCCAACACGACTTGTTTACAAAACTAGGTGGGAGGCCAGATTTGGTCACAGGCCATAGTTTGCTGACCCCTGGTCTGGGGGATGGAGTAATGACGCACGGGCAGAATTCAGACTGCAGCTCACCAGAAAGCATTCGTCGCAATTAGAACCAACTGCAGATGGAATGCGCAGCCACCTCAGTGGGTCCCAGGCGTCACTGAGGGGGTCCAAGTGATGCTGACACACACAGGGACACAGTCCAGGCATTGGATGCAACAGACAAGGGTGATCTGCACGGTGCCCTCCAAGGTTATCTTCAAGTGCACTTTATTCAGTGGCCAGTTCTGACCCCAATTACCACTAACTATAAAACAACTTACCAAACATGAGAAAACTGATCCAGGCCCATCAAGGAATGTTCAGGATTATTAAAGATGCTCTTTCTAATCCTTAAACGAGCCCGTGAAAGACTACAGATGGACGGCTGCCTTGGGGTACCATTCTTAGCTGAGAAACATGATTCTAAGTAGCCAATTGGCTCAGTTAACAGATTTCCTACAGAAGAAAAGTGGGTAAGAAGTTATTAGTCAAAACATCAAACAAAAGATCTAGGAAAATGTTTCCTTTTTAAAAATTTTTATTGTGAAGATAAATAAAGTGAAAGTTTACAGAGCAAATGCATTTTCCACACAGCAGTTCATACATATTTTGTTTCATGACATTGCAATTCCCCACAGTGTAACAGCTCCCTTCCCACTTCCTCCCTGTAGTTACTTCTTCCCTATGATTCCTGCCCTACCTCCCTGTGCAAATCCTGCCCTTCTGTTCTCCCGTGAGTGATTGTTCTCAGGAGTGTATCTTCCTGGTGTGAATGTTCACCCTATATGCCTGTCTGCTGCTTGGCTGGAAGCCACGGGAGTAACTGGGAAAATGTTCTTGAAGGCAACGATTTCAGAGCTTTTCAATCTACCACGTGCTGTGCAACTACAAAACCTGATTTTTTTCTAGTACTCATGAACGCATATAAACAGTCTCATCATTACCAACACACAGTAACATCCCTTTAGATGACATCCTGGAAGGAGCACTGGTCTAAGAAAGTAAGAAAATCATGAATAAAAGAAAGAGTATTTTAGAAGACCTATTATGACCATAATAGGACCATGGGAACTCTGGTAGCATAGTGCATAAGGCACTTGACTACTAACCAGAAGGCTGACAGTTCAAACCCATCAGCTACTCCCCGGAAGGACAGTTGGGCAATCTACTTCCGTAGAAACCCAAGGAGGGGTCGCTATGAGTCGGGGCTGACTCGGTGGCACATAACAACAACATTATGACCACAGGAGCTCTAGTGGTGTAGTGATGGTGTAGTAAGGTATTTTGGCTGTTAATCAGAAGGTCAGTAGTTCAAAGCCACCAGGAAGAGGAAGCAATCTACTTCCGTAAAGATTTATAGCCTTGGCCTGAGTGGGAATCGAAAGCAGACTGCCTCATCTATCTTCCGCCGAGCGGTTCAGACCACTGGCCTTTCGGTTAGTGGCCAAACGCCTTAAGCACTACACCACCACAGCTCCTTCTTGTATATAAAGTGGTTAAATAGAGAAACTCACTTCTCTTTCCATGTCCAGCTCACAATTATTTCTCCTTCAACTTCCCCACTTCATGTCCCACAGCACAGGATGGCCCCTCCTGTGACATTCAGTAGCTCTTAACCGCACAAGGCAAACCTGCACAAGTCCTGTCACTCCTCTATGAGCCCAAAGCCACTCCGACTCATAGAGCTCCGGTAAGTGCAGAACCGCCCCGCAGGGTCCTCGGAGCTGTCATCTTTGTGGAAGCCGGCTGCCGTATCTTCTCCAGCAGAGCTGCTGGTGCTTCCCACCGCCCACCTTTTGTGAGCAACCAAACGCTTTCCCCACTGCGACACCACCGCTCCTATCCACCCAGCCAAGACCAGGCGAACGGCAGCAACTCAGCAGAGACCTGGGGCTGACGTCATCTCACTCGCCTCAGAGACGTCACGTGGTCGGCTGAGCACGTGACGCGTGCAGTAGTCAGCGGCATAACGCACCTAAGCTCAAGGTTCCTCAACTCTCTTCTCTGCAATGAAGCCGGCAGCTTGAGCCTAGGCTTCTTTTGAGTACCGTACCGTCAGCCTCTTAGACGTTACCTGTCTCCAGAGCCGGCTTCACGCACCCGCACGAGGTCGCTGTGGGCCGAGGCCCTGTCGCCTGCAAGCCGCGCATGGTTACTGGCCCCTGGGTGCCCGTCGACGCGTCAAACCTTCCGCTTCCGTGCTCCATGGCTTGGCGCCTGCGCAGTAGCCGCGCCGGCGCAGTGGCGGGGCCGCCGGGCTGGACGTGCGCGCTGGGCGTGGGGGCGCTCGTTGGCGGCGGCTCCGCAGCGCCGCGCGCCGACGGAGGTTTGCATGGGGGCAGCTGTTGCGGTCCTGGGGCTGGGCTACTGCCGACTCAGTAGCGCCACCGAGTTCCACGCGCAGGGAGCGCACGGGTGAAGATTGCAGCACAAAGATGTGTCTCGAAACATTATTATAAGCAAAACATTGGAAGCAATCTACGTATCAAGCGGGTAATCCTTTTTTTTAAGGCTGTGTAAGTAGCAGACATGTAGGAAAAAGACTGGATGTCAGGAAATGTTCAAAGTTCCCTTTGGGTAGCGGAAATACACAGATGACTGTTTCCTTTCTACTTCCCTGTATGTTCCACATTTTCCATAATAAAAGCAATGCTTTGTCAAAATAGAACTTCCAGTAAACCATTTTTCAAATCTGCAGCCTCACCCAGATTAGGGATTGAGACACTTCCTTGTGCCCCACGCCTCGTGGGAACTGCCGCGAGGGCCGAGAGAGAGTCCACAGGCCCTGGCGACTGGGGGGGGGGGGGGTTCTGGCAACTCCAGAAGCGGAGGGCCAAGAATCTTTTTTTTTTTTTTGTCTCTACATGGATAGTCCATCTTTTACCGACTGACTTGTAATGTCATGTCTTACCTATGTAATATTTTTGGGTATCCATAATACTCTGTTCATGGGCTTTTATACTACTGGTACAGAAAAAAAAAAACCTTCTACTGCCTGCCCTATGAAATATTCATAAGCATGCAAGTGCACAGATTTAAAAGCTTAACATGCAAAGCTGCTTCTAAGCCTGTTGAATTTGTCATAGACTGGTAGAAATTAAGCAGTAGTAGGAACCAACATGGTTAAAAATAAACAAGAGCTTTAAATTTCATCAAACATATTTAT